TATTTCATGCACCAAAAGTGTTTGATAAATGCCTGAACCAAGCTATGTTAGAGGTTTATGCATTAAAGCCATGAAAATGATTGTTTAATGCATAGATGATAAGTTAGGATTGATGTTTAATGATGTCTTAATTATTATGTCTCCAGTGATGATTGGGTATGAGTGATAATCTGATTTGTGTTTCGATACTTGGGAAAGATTAAAACTAATTTGGAATCCTAAGTCACTTGAGATCATTTATCATATTGTTTATCAACATCTTAGTTTAGCACCTACAGCATCCTAATTATCATGTCTAGAACTCTATTGTTTTATCATGTTTACATCATCTAAATCATTTGTTTCTTTTGTTTATTGCATGTTTACTTCTTAAATCTTGTTTAGGACTGCTTAGTGTCTTGTTTGAAACCAAAACTCACTTGTCTTGCTTGAATCAAGATACAAATCACATAAACTAGTGAACTAGACCCACAAGATGGATTGATATCCCTTTATACTACATCTGATAAAGGGGATTGATAACCCACAAGAATCCTAAAACTCTTTGTTTATCACTGGCCCGTTGGTCCAAAGTTTTAAATTATAAAACCATAATGTCTGAAAGTGCACAGATGTACGTTGTAGGACTTAGGGTATCTATCCACAGGAAATATTTCTAATCTTTATCTATTTCCAGTATCTTCATTGAACTAGAATAGGCACATGTATGGCTAACCAACTCTCGTTACCTTAACCAACTAATCACTTAATACGATAATTAACTCTCACTCTTATGCCGTAAATAAGATCATGCAATCACAACTGAATTTGTTTGCTCACATCTTCTCTACAAGTAGCTTTCGACTCCTGTAGCAACTATGTTCTTCTGAAGCTAGGTACGGATGATCTGATACAGGACGCTCATGGCTCTGAGCGATCCTAGGCTCATGAAATATATCATGAATGTATCCTCATGTAGTATAAAGAACTTAGAAGAGATGAGATCTAGAATATGGCTTATAACTCTAGAAATCCTAATCGAACATATATCCCGTCGATACTCTTTAGAAACTTGACTCTCTGGGACTAATCTAACGTGATGCAGGAAATGATAAAAGACATGAAATATGCATACAAATGGAATGGAAAAGCTAAATAGATAAAAACAAAAGTAGAATGAACAATGATTCAGGGGAAGAATCCCCATCTCCATCATCTAACCCTAAGAAAACAAATTTTGGTGTTTCAAAAACTCATTACAAGAGCACACACCCCGATTAGGACTGCTAATAAATGTATTTATAGGTCGTAAGGTCTTCCAGGTCTTAATTAGGGCTTCTCTGAAGAGAAATGACGAAATGGGCTTTGATGTTGGGCCTTCTGTCTCGGCGGCAGGTGGAATACACTTTTGCCGTGGGTGAGAGTCTTCTGAGACTGGTGAATTTGGTCAACTTTCTCTTCACATATCTCTTGATTGTACTGTTGGATTGTCCTGATGTAAAGTGCTATGGAAAGCTTGTTGTCTCCTCTTAAATGTCACCAATCTTGACATCTAATTTTCTCATCAATGGTTTTAAGAAGGCATCATGATATACATCTAGGACATTTTTACCTTATTGTTACCACTCTTTGTTTTCCTAGATGGCCAGTTCATTTTTAGCCGGTACCACACCCTTAACCCAAACCTTTATGTTCAAACCTCATGCATTCTCTCTTAAGTTTATATCGACAGATATGTGCAAAAACGCCGGAGAGAGAGGAACAACATAGTTTTCAGTCACTCAAGAGAAAGACTGAAAGAGACCAGGAGGGAGTGTGCCAGAAATCTTATGATGCCTCAGAAAAGCTCATTCTTAAAGGAAAATTTCGTGCTCCCTAAGACTCCAAGTCAAAAGGCAGTTTCCCCTTTCTTAAAAATAAAAAATAAAAAAGGGAAACTAAAATCCTAAAAGAGTCTTAGAAGCCGAAATTACTTGAGCCAAGGCAATATGTATTCACTTAAGGAGTTATGGAATCACAACCTGGACAAAAATGTAAGTCTGGGGGAAATATAAGGAGAACCTGAAGAAAGGAGATCAGAAATCTTAAAGCAAGAAGAATGTGGATGAAACTATGGGGGCATTTACAGCTCCATCCTCTCTTGCTGTTTTGTAATATGTCCTGTCTCTCTAGAAAAAGGTAACCCTAAACACATCAGCCTTACCATTAAAAAGCCTTTTTGATATCTAACCTTGAATGCCTTGTTTAATATCCTTTTGATGAGAACCACTGAAACCTTTAATGAATATTAAGAGCTAGTTGACTGGAAGTTAGTTCTAAGTGTGTGGATTTTTGCATGACGGATCAACGGCCTAGTTATGTTGGTGAGAATTTTCTAGACTTGATCTGATTGATGCATTGTCCAAAATTAAGGTCTATAAGTATGGTTGCTAATATTTTTGAGTTCCCTCTCATTTTTGTTGAATGATATTTTTCCAGATTTGATCTTGTTTTGTTTGAGGACAAACAAAGTCTTAAGTCTGGGGAGTTGATAACACCTCATTTTGACCACTTTTCACAATTGATTTCAAATACTTTTTCAAAGGTTTTACTTTGTTTTAGAAACTTTTATTATGATTTCCATGTAGTTGTACTTTTAAGGCTCTTTTCAGGAAACTTAAGGAATATGATGGCAAATTGGAAGAAATCCACATTTTTAGCTCAGAGTCAGACCGTCAGAAGTTCAGCCTCAAATGAAGTTTTTCACCGTCCGATCCAGCTCAAATTTGGGAACAATCAAGAGGAGACAACCAGCTTTCCATAGCACTTTACATCACAAAGATCCAACGGTGCAATCAAAAGATACATGGAGAACAAGTTGACCCAGTTCACCAGTTCCGGAAGACTCTCACCCGCGGAAAACACATGTTTTACCTGCCCTGAAAGACTCTCACCCCTGGTGGACCTTAGGACGAGCCACAAGGCCCAAAATCAAAGCCCACTTCGCCATTTCTCTTCAGAGAAGCCCTAAATGAGACCTATAAATACATTGTTTAGTAGTCCTAAACGGGTGTGTGCTCCTGTAATGAGATTTTAAGCCACCAAAATCTGTTTTTCTAGGTTTAGGCGATGCAGATGGGGATTCTTCCCCAGATCCATTGTTCTTTCTCCTTTTTATCTTATTAACTTTTCTGTTTCATTCTTTTGCATTCTTCTATGTCTTTTATCATTCATTCCATCATGTAGATTAGTCCCAGAGAGTCAAGTTGTTTGAAGATATCGACAAGCATATATATCGATTAGGATTTCTATTGTTCTTAGCCATATTCTGGATCTCATCTCTTCTAAGTTGTTCGTAAATCATGAGAGTAGATTCATGACCTATTCTCTGAGCCTAGGATCGATCAGAGCCACGAGAGTGCTGTATCAGATCATCCATTCCTTGCTTCAGAAGAACATAGTAGCTATAGGAGTCGAAAGCTACCTATAGAGAAGAAGTGAGAAGACGAATTCAATGTCCAATGCATGATCTTAAGTTTAGCATGAGAGCGAGAGTTAATTGCTAGATCTAAGAGATTAGTTGATTAAGGTGACGACAGTTGGTTAATCATACATATGTCTATTCTAGTTCATTGCAGATTCCCAGAAACATATGAAGATAAATTGCCCAGAAGCTAATTGGAAATGTCATCATACATCGATTAGAGTAACCAGGAGAAGTCTAAATCGCCACCTATGAGTTTGGGAGTCTTTAGTTTGAGTCGATATGTTTTAGATGTTCTTTTAACAATTCATCCTGCATTGCATTTCTTGTGAATACTAGATTAGGTTTAGTTTAGGATCTTAACCAAAAACCCCAAATCTTTTATTGGTTTATGAGTTTGCTTACTTCCCAGTTTGTTGTTTCTTGCAGATTAGACATCCTCCCTGTGGATCGACACCCTAAGTCTTACAACGTATATCTGTGCACTTGCAGACACTAGGGTTTTATAAATTTAAAACTTAAGGAGGACAACCGGGCTTGTTAAAAAACAACCATAGGCCCGCAACCCCATCACTACTGCGTTTGTTGTGCACTTGCAGTTTGTTTAGGGTAAAACCTGTAGTTCCCCACTGCAATCACATCAAGTTTTTGGCGCCGTTTCCGGGATTTGTCGCTGTTGATTTGATTCCTTAATCTAATTTCAATTCTAAACCACAATTTTTTCGAGTTCTGTTGGAGCTTTTCTAACTTCTCTTTTTATCTTTGCTTTGTTTTCTCTCAGTTGCATGAAAATTAGGAGAAATCCTACCAATATTGTACACCCCTAGACGAGATTGACAAACACGAAAGAGAACTTCGAAACTCAGACGAAAAACGCTCAGGATGGCTGATCCAAACGCCCATCGGGAAAATTCTTTAAACCGTGATCAAGATGGTCACAACGGAGACGATGATGATCATGATTTCATTCACAATGATGATGACTGAGAGGCTGCTCATGAAGCAGATGGACAGCCACAACTCGATGGAGAGGGAAATCAACTCCCTAGACATGCTGCTGATAACCAAATGAGACAAGACCAGGCCGATCCAGAAGAGCAAAGGGATGATGAAAACATTGTTCCACCTAATGGAAGAGGAGGAAATCAACCTATAAAACTTGTCAACCCTGCGAGAAGACAGCCCCGCAATAGACTTATTGCTGATTTTGATGCACCTTACCAACACTTTCAAAATAGATCAGCTATTCAAGCACCTGTGCCAGCAAGGGGTGATTTCAAGATAAAACCTCAAATTGTCTCTCTGGTGAAGCAAAATCAAATCCATGGAAACTCTACTGAGCATCCTATGGATCACATAGATTTTTTTGAAGAAATCTATGGCATGGTGAGAACCACTCCATGTTCTATAGATTATGTGAAGTGTAAGCTTTTCCTTTTTTCTTTAAGTGATAAAGCATTTAGATGGTTGAAGTCTATGCCATCTGGCTCTATTACTTCATGGGAAGAATGCAAGTCAGCTTTCTTGAACCACGTTTACACCAAGTCAAGATCTAACCAGCTGAGAAACAATATCCAAAGTTTCCAACAAGGCCCTGTCGAATCATTTTACGAAGCATGGAAGCGATTCAAGGAGTATGAGAGAGACTGCCTTCACCATGGTTTCTCTGGAGCAAATCTGCTAAGCACCTTCTATAGAGGACTTCAGCAGAAGTATCAACTTTCTCTTGACACTGCCAGCAATGGAGATTTTGGTTCAAAAACTGTGACACAAGGGAGAGCACTCATCGAAAACCTAGCTGTAACCAATAGCAACAACAATCCCGAGTATGACAGATCATAGAAGACTATCATTAGTCATGAGTCAAGGGAAATTGCTGAGCTAAAAAGCATGTTAATTCAACTTCTTAAATTTCAAAATAAGATTATACATGCTTGTGATACTGCTGTAGGTAATGAAGAAGATGGATGATATGAAGATGATGACATATATTCTCAAGAAGAGGAGGTGAATTTTGTTAGAGCACAAGGGATATATCAGAACCGATTCAATCCAGCTTTCAACCAAAATTTCAGGAATGCCAACTTCAACAATCTTTCATAAAGAAGTCATTGAGAACCCCCAGAACCAGCCCTATCTGCACCAGCAGATGAATTTTCAAAACAAGTTCCAAAACGGAAACTATGGAGGAGGAAATTTTCAACAAAGACCACCTTTCAATCCTCAACAGGTGCAGACCAGCTCATTAGAAGCAACCCTCTCCCAGCTAAGCAATCAAGTAAAATCGCTTGAACAAAACATGATGCAAAAATCTCAAAGCAATGACAATTTGTCCAGAGAAATGGGAGTAAAGATCGATTGTATGTACAATGACTTGAATGAGAAGTTTGAATCTCTTGCAAACCATGTCAAGAAGTTGGAACTACAAATAGGTCAGACTGCAGATTCTATGAAAAGGCAGCCAGGAGTCTTGCCAGGAAGAGTGGAGGATAATACAAAAAAGTTCTGCAATGCCATGACAGCAGTCACTGAAGGAGAACAGGTGCAAACTCTAAGGAGAATTCAATCCATGAATCTCTCATTAAAGAAGCAAAAACCGAGCATGAAGGAGGTCATAACATTTCGGTTAAGGTAACAAAACGTTTACCCGTCCAAAGACCCAAAAAGTCTAAGGATCCAGAGCATTTTTCTTTCACTTGCTCTATTTCTAGGATTGATTTTTCAGACTTTTTATGTTATTCTGGTGCTAGTGTGAGCATTATGTCGAAATATGTTGCTGAGAGACTTGGTATAAGAACACTTGTCCCATCTCCAGTAAGGATAGTCTTTGGTGATTCATCTCAAAAGAGAACAGAAGGAATGATTCAGAACCTGCCATTAGTCATTGGAGATAGACCTTTGATATTTGGTCGCCCATTCTTAGCAACTGTAGGTGCTATCATTGATCATGCAAATCGCTGTTTAGTTTTCTTAAATGTGGACAGAAAAAAGTTCTACAGAACTACACTGGATCAAGCTCGAATCCGCAAGGACAAGCTCAAGGAGAAAGTTTCGGAGAACAAGAAAGAACTAAAAGCACTTGCATCTAAACAGTTTGCAAAGATCAAGATAGTGGTACCACCAGACATCAGCATGCTGAGAAGACAAAACATATCCTCAAAGATGCAAAACTCTTAAGAGAGGAAAGGAGATTGTGATTCAAGATGAAGGACATCCAAAGTTCAAGCTCAAGAGGACTCTAAGGACTCTTATTTTAAGAGATCCTGCTTCTTCTTCTCAATCCTGATCCCACCAAGAATCTAGTTAAAAGACATTAAACAAAAACGCTTGATGGGAGGCAACCCATTTGGTATGTTTTTTCTTTTCTTTTTATTTCTTTTATATTTGATCTTTTTCTTTTATTGTATTTCAGGCTTTCATCAAACCCAGAAAAACCAAAAACATTTAAAAAACCAGTAAATACAAAAGATAGGAGGAAGAAACCGGAAACTAGAAAGAAGCAGGGAAGGCCGTAGCCATTTTGCCGCGGCCGCGATCATCTCAGCCGCGGCCAGGCCACATTCTGCCACGGTTCCAGACCGTGGCCAAACCATCGTCTGCCGCGGCCGCGATCACGCCACCCGCGGCCAAGCTCTATTTGCTTCCCGACTTGTTTTTCCTGATTTCTCATAAGCCGGAGCTTAAAAATCCTGATTCATCCCGGGATTAAACCGGAGATTCCTAGAAAATCTTTTCCGTGCCAAACACGCCAAGGTAAGTCTTTCAAAACTTTTAAAATAATTTCTTTTTAGAAAAAACACATTTTTAAAAGAAAAAGAGGATTTCAAAGATCAAAAGGCATATTTTCACCATCTTCTCCAACAAGCTTAGAGATTTTGAGAAAAGAATAGATTTCAAACTTGACAAATAGCTTTCAAATTTTTGATTCTGTCGCACTCCTTTTTAAAGGAGATTCCAAATCTATGATCACATCACACTCTCATCAAGGTATGGAGAATTGTGACATCCCGATTTCCGGTATATGTGAAAAAGCTTATAAGAATTGATTTGATTATCTATGTCACTAAAGTGCACTTATCTTTTCTGGTCAAATGTCTTGAGAGAAATCCAGAGTTAAGTGTGCTTATGCTGGAGTAATCTCAGAATGGGTGACCTACTGGAAAGTAGTTTGCATACCGTGCGAGTGAAGACAAAGCACATAATGATTGGCACGGGGCGGTTAAAGACATTCAGAATTGATAACTAATCCAGATGAAAAACGGAATCGAAGTCTCATAGATTTAATAGCCAGTCCATCTAATTCCCGGAAAGGAAGAAAGGAACAGAGTGTCACACTTTTACTTTTCAAATCCAAATTCTAGGGGAATGCGTTAGCTTTTTAGATTATGGGGGCCAAATGTGTAAATCTATTAAAATATAAGACCCGTTTGTCAGAAAATGAAACAAGAAATTATGGAGACTCGGAGTCGGAGAGAAGAAGGGAAAACGAAGAATACACAATACAAAGAGCTATTTTTTTTTCAAAACTAAAATCAGACACTTTGCTCCGATCGTCGATGGATACTCAGATCTGAGGATTAATCCCGTCTTCATTTTCTAGTGGAAAAAAATCAAAAAAATATCCGATTTGGGTTGACGGAGACGAAGCCGGAGGTAGAAATCGAAGGAATCCTCAATGGATGATTTCACAGGCCTCTTAGCGAGAGACTTTGGATTGAAGCCTCAGGGAAAATCTGCTCCGATGGCGCCCCAGACCAACTCTTCTGCCGCTGATTTTAGCAGTTTCGCTTCTTCCTACAGCTTCGCGAACGACTCATCGAAGAAGAAGTCCGATTCGTCGCCGGTATTTGACGATCTGAGTCGCGATGGTGATGATCTTCTCTTCAGCGATGTATTTAGCGGATCCTCCGATTCTCTCTCTCAGCCTAAGCCCTCTGCTCCGGCCTTTGACTACGATGCTATGTTCAGGGAGCGTACAACACCCAAATCGGCGTCCATGCCTGTTTATGACAAGCCTGTGTACGATGAGGATGTGTTTGAGGCTATCCCTGAGCTCAAAATCCCATCGACTTCTCAATCAGCTAGGTTTGATGACGTTTTCTCTTCGATCTCGTCACCTACGAAGCACAGGAAACAGAACAGTTCTCCTTTCGATGATTTGATTGGGAATCTGGGGAAAAGAGAAACGGAACCAAAGGAGACGGAGAGTGAGCGAGAAGAGAAAGGTAGCTCCGTTTTTGATGACTTGATTCCTGGGTTTGGTCGCAGCAGCTCGCCTCCAAATAAAAGGTAATATTTTTCAGCCTATTTGTTGAACTGACTCAAGGGTATAGAGCTTAGAGCTAATGAATTGTAGCATTGACTTTATAGTGCTTATGGAGAGCTGTTTGCTGGTTTCTGTTATGTTTACTTTCTGGAACTTAGAAAGTCTCGAAAAGCTTGAACTTTTTGCTTGTCATTCATATGCAAAATTTCATTTTGATTTAGGTATAGGCATACCTTGTTTATCGACTGAGAGATGCTGTACTCTTTTTGCATAGGCCAACTTCAGAGACGAGTCAATCTCAGAAACCTTCTTATCGGACAACCAAGACATCTTCCAATCTTGTAGACGATCCATTTGTAGGCTTGGAGGAGTCTGCATCAACCTTTAGAGAACCTTCCAAAGGAGAGTTCACTGATCCATTGGAGGAAATTGGTAAATTCAACAGCAGAAAAACTGATCATTCATCTGTCCGAGGAGGAGAATTTGTTGATGTAGATTCTCTCGATGGTCTTAGAAAATCAGGGCCAGATATGAATAGTAGAGGCAAGAGTCACTTGAGACCAGAAAGCATCAGTGGCTCTCAGTCACCAGTAGAAAGTTCTGGGAATTACCATGCGAAGAAAGTTTCATCTGATGAAGTTTTGGAGCCGCAGAATACTTCATCCAGAAGTGTTCCTCAGACTTCTTCTCCAGTGTATGAAAACAAATCAGTCAATTCTGATGGATGTTTTGAATCATCTGATGATGTGTGGCTTACTGTTTCTGAGATCCCCCTATTTACACAACCTACGAGTGCTCCGCCACCTTCGAGACCTCCACCACCAAGACCTACACGTCCTATAAAAAAGAAGGTTAATGAGCCTTCTTTATCGAGTTCTACTAACCACTCACACGTTCCTAACTCAGCTAGAGCTTCTGCAAATAGCCCAACAGTATCTCCAATGGATGAACTCGACGCTTTTTCTATGGGCAGAAATCAGACTGCTGCTAATGGACATCCCGAGCCTCCCTCTGGTGAAGATCCAGATGTTTTCACTGCTGCTGTTGCATCAGCTGCTGCCATGAAGGATGCCATGGATAAAGCAGAAGCGAAGTTTAGGCATGCTAAGGAAAGGAGAGAGAAAGAAAATCTGAAGGCACGTAGAAGTAGAGAAGGCGATCAAATGGATAATTATGATTCTCGGGAAAGGGAACTAAGAGAAAAGCAAGTAAGATTGGATCGTGAAAGGATAGAGAGGGAGGCAGAGATGGAAAGGGAGAGAGAGAGGGAGAGAGAGGAGAAAGAGAGAGAGCAGAAAAGAATTGAGAAAGAAAGGGAAAGATTATTGGCTAGACAGGCGGTAGAGAGGGCTACAAGGGAAGCACGCGAAAGAGCAGCCACTGAAGCACATGCAAAAGTTCAAAGAGCTGCTGTTGGGAGGGCTACCGATGCCCAAGAACGCGCAGAAAGAGCAGCGGTTCAAAGAGCTCATGCCGAAGCACGTGAAAGAGCAGCTGCAGGGGCAAGAGAAAAAGCTGCGAAAGCTGAAGCAGAAGCTAGAGAAAGGGCGACTGCTGAAGCGCGGGAGAAGGAAGCACGGGTTAGGGCAGAACGAGCTGCTGTGGAAAGGGCAGCTGCAGAAGCACGTGGAAGGGCAGCTGCCCAAGCTAAAGCTAAGCAGCAAGAGAATAACAATGATCTTGACTCTTTCTTTAACTCGGTTTCACGGCCCAACAGTGCTCCACGACAAAGAGCCAACCCTCCGGTGAGATGGGATATCTACTTGTTCTGCGTTACGTCCTTTATTGAAGATTCATCTCCTCATATAACTCTAGTTATGTTACAGGATCCTTTTCAAGATTCCTGGAACAAGGGAGGATCTTTCGAATCGGGTAGGACATCAGAGAACCTGAGGAAGGCCTCTTCAGCGACAAACATTGTTGATGATCTGAGTTCAATATTTGGAGGTATTGTACTTTCTGAGGTTTACCCATCATATTCACTTTATTTTCATGTCTTTTATATTGGTCACCTACTGAAACTCTCCTGTTTGTAAAGGTTCAGCAACACAATCTGGTGGGTTTCAAGATGTTGAAGGAGAAACTGAAGAGAGACGGCGTGCCAGGCTAGAACGCCACCAGAGGACACAAGAGCGGGCTGTATGTATCAATAGAGTTGTTAAATCTTTTTCTTTAATGAGTTTTATATCTGAAAAAGACACAAAATCCACCATTACGTTTAGTAATATAAATACTTTTCTCAATCAGGCGAAAGCACTTGCTGAGAAACATGAGCGTGATCTTCAAGTAAAAAGAGATCAAGCTGAGCGAAATGTAAGTTTCACTTTACATGTGGTTTCTTCCCTTTCCCTCCTCTGTTGTGCCCAATCTCAAATCAAGTAGTTTTGTCGAGACACTTAATAAGAATGGGGTGTCTTGTATTCATTAGCATTAAAATTTTGTGCCACCTTAGGGAACTGTCTAAACTATTACTATCCATCTTGTTTTTTCTTTCTCTCTAGTTTGAGCCACTTAATCCTGAATGGCAAAGGATCTGTCTGGTTTTTCAGAGGATCGGTGAGACCCTAGATGTTGAGATAAAACGTTGGGGTGCAGGGAAGGAGGGAAACTTGCGCGCTCTGCTTTCAACGTTACAATATGTATGTTGTATTGTCTATTTTTCTTTATTCTGATGTTCATTTGTACCTTTGATTTTATCAATCTTACAATTTCTTCTAATGTTTCAATGCGAACGAGCAGGTTCTTTGGCCAGAATGCGGTTGGCAGCCTGTTTCATTGACTGATCTAATTACCGCTGCATCTGTCAAGAAATTTTATAGAAAGGCCAGTCTCTGTATACATCCTGACAAAGTTCAGCAAAAAGGCGCCAATCTCCAGCAGAAATACATTGCCGAGAAAGTGTTCGACTTGCTCAAGGTCAGCGATTCACCAATTTTGAACAAAAACACCTTTTAAGTTAACGTATTGTTCAATTAGATTGCATCTCTCATTCATTGTACAATTCCACAGTTGCTGACTTCATCTCTCTTTTTTTTTTTTTTTTTTCTCATAACATTAAACAGGAAGCATGGAACAAGTTCAATTCAGAAGAACTATTTTGAAAGAAACCTGGGATTTTGTTTTGAGATAGTGTTGTTTTGTGTATTACCAGAAAACGATGAAGCATGGTGCGTTCATTAAAATGCAAAAAATGGAGCCATATTGTTGTCCATAGAGTATGTATTCCCTCGGTATTACCCAAGGCTGCACCATTATAGACATCGCAGCAATTGGGCATTCTTATTTTTTGTTTTTGTTAATCTTTTTCCTTTCTCATTACTATTCTTGATTTTAAGGGCACGATGTCAAATGTGTTGATGTTGATTTCTTGTATCAAAACACATACTTGAAGAACTGTATATTGTTGCTTCCTAACTATATACACGAAATGTTCTAACCTTAACCCCGAAAATGTGCAGATGTTTCCGAATTGGGTCATAGAAAACCTTTACGTCACCTAGGCTTTGTGCAATGGCTTGAGGTCGCTCCAATAAAAAACGGAGAAGCCATAAAGAAAGATTTTGTCTTCAAACCACATAACAAGCTCAAGGGTGTTTCTGGCATAACAGGTTTTGGAACAATTGGCAAACACCTAGAGCACAGAATCGTAATAAAACTAATAATTGTAATATATATACATATATATATATATTTATATATATATATTTATTAAAAATAAATATAAATAAAATTTAATATTATGCTTGGGTTTACTATTTCCAATTTAGGTTTTAGTTTTTCTTTATTTAAAATTCCAAAAATAAAACAAATAACTATGTAAAAATATATTTTTATTAAAATTAATTCTACATAAACTTCAATATTATGTTTGGGTTCACTATTTCGAAATTAGGATTTAGTTTTTTCAATTAAAAATAATTTAATATTATATTTGGGTTCACTATTTCCAATTTAGGGTTTAGTTTTTTTTTTCTTTTAAATTTTGACACTAAAATAAATAATTATGTAAAAATATATTTTTATTAAAAATAGTTCTACATAAATTTTAATATTATGTTTGGGTTCACTATTTCCAAATTAGGCTTTAATGTTTTAAAAAAATATTTAAAATGTGATATTTTGGTAAGTTACTTTAATTGATTTTATTATATGGCAGATTCTCATTGGCTAAAATAAGAGGGGGTGAATGAATGAATTCACCCCTAGGGGTGAACCCAAGAATTGTCCATCTTTCTGACACATTAGTAGCTCATATTGTCTTCGTTGTATCGCCACATCGATGTTTTTGTTAACAAGTTTCATGTGTCAACACGCTCATGTCCATGTCACTCAAGTTCCTATCTCACTACCGATATGGATATTTTTCACATTATTCCATCACCAAAGAAAGATTCTTTCGAAAAATAAAAATACAATATTTAAACGATATTTGTGTAATTATGACCGTATAATTAAATTTTAGATTAATAATATATGTATTTAATTACCTAGAAATTACGTTTTGTAAATTCAGTAAAGAAACTCCTAAATTAATCCAAATTACCTATAAATAGAGTTGAAATTATTATCTGCTATCCATGATCCGATCCGCTCCGAAAAATCCGGATATCCAAGAGGGTCGGATCCGGATAGTAAAACCCCATCTCGATGAGGCTGTCAAACTTGTCTAGCTTCTGCTCGTAGTGCGTCTTCATCTGGTTTAGTTATTGGTATAGAACAACTGGGTTCTCGACACTTCAATGAGATGAAGCCGAAGCAACAAAGTTATCTCAGATAGATCCCATCCTGATATGATCATGAAAAGCAATGAAGATTTGGAGCTTGAACCAGAGGCTGGAGAGGAAGTAGCTGAGGAGTTAGAAGAACCATTACATGTTTCAAGGGATCCAATGATTAGATCAAGGTCTAAGAAGCCGTTGGAGCCATCATCATACGCAGTTTGGATACAAATCATGAGGAAAAGGAGTGCAACACCGATACCTTAGTTGTGATCCAGGTCCAAACGACTTAGTAGGCTTGTGATTCAACTTTGTATCTTTTTCCTCATTTCTAGTTTTGTCCCAATGGGTTTTCTAGAGATGGTTTTTTAATGAGGCAGAGTTGGGTCACCACGCCTAAGTCCACTAAGTAGAAGCCCAAGCTGAATCAACTACAAGAGGCGCGTCTAAGTCTAGTTCAAACTTGCCAGCTTGTGTTTTTATTTCCGAGATGTTTTAATGTTTGCCAGACTCATCTCTTCTCCTTCTTTATATTCTCTTGTAACGCTATAGTATCCATCATCTTATATTTTATTCTAAAACTCTTTCAAAGAATAAGATCTTGTTTGTTGGTGTGTTATATCCTTCGAACAAACCTTGAATCAACTGTGTGTGTGTTATATCACTTAGAAGATTCAAGTGGCCTATCAAAAGTAATCTGCAACTCTTGTGTGTGTCCATTCACTTCCACCTCTCTTGATTCAAACTTTGTTTGTCTGCAAGATCTATCCTTTTTATTTCCAGTCATTAGAGTGTCGATCAAAGGCAGATCCTATCCACGATCATATCACATCCCCAAAACCCTGCCCTTTTTCTTAGAGCAACCTATAAAACATAACGAGAAACATATATATATATATATACATATGTTTGTCCATTCATATATATACATATAGATATATGTTTATAGAATCATATACATATATACATATATATATATTTGTTAGAAAATATTGATAAAAAGTAAAGATGTATTTATAGAAACTTTGAACTTTCCAACAAATTTTTAACATAATATTACATAGATTTTACAATAACATATATATATATATACAACGATTTTACAACGACTTTACAACATAATTACGACGAACAAATTCCACGTACACAGTAATATGATCTTGGCTAGATCTTCCCTTTTGATCGTCACTCTAGTGAAGGATTCCGTAGAGGATAAGCCTTGCAAACAAAGGATTTGTTTCAAGGGATGTGGAGTCAAATCACACAAGAGATTGCGGAAAGATCTCTTGATTCACCGGTGATCTTCTCTGGATATGACACACCAAAGAGAGATCGGATTTCTTGAGGATATTACAGACCAACAAGTAAAGGAGTTTGATCTTTTATTTGAAAGAGATTTAGATTGAACTAAATCTAAGTGTAAATCGAAATAAAAAGGTTGTAAAACAATAGGAACAAATCGCTGGGTCTAAAGGGTTTTTGCAGGGGTTCATGAACTGATCAAAAGACATATAAATCGATAAAGGTAATCATCTAGTGAGGATCCCGAACTAGAATAGACTCATATAAGATTAGCCAACTCTCGTCACCCTAATCATCTAATCACTCAACACATCAATTAACTCTCGCTCTCATGCTGCAAATAAAATCATGCATTATAAACAGAATTCATCCACGCTCGCGATTCTCTGTAGGTAGCTTTCGTCTCCTACAGCGAATTCGTTTGATCACTTCTAGGTCTGGTAATTCGATACAGCACTCTCGTGGCTCCAATTACTGAGATCAATTTCTAAGCGGTTAGCAACAGAAACAGCATAGGGAACAAGAATGAACGAAGGACTCCTAGAAGATTTTGAACCCTAAATCGAATAAAGCATAAGATAAAGACATGAAATTTCCCTTTGGAAAATCCCTTAAAAACCCAACTAGGAAACTACTCAGACATAGTTGAATTCAACATTACAAGAGTATTTAGAATTGTAGAGAATTGAAATAGACAGAGTTTAGAAACGAAGAACAGGTTGAAGAAGGAGGGTCGATGGTGCCCCTCTCGGTGGCTCCTCTTCTGGGCGAGCTTCTCTTCTAGGGTTCCTGGTGAAAAATGTGGCATCCTTTTTAAACGACTTAAAAGGGGTTTATATAGTGTCTTGAGTCCTCGAGAACACCTAGGAATTGCAGGAATAATGACGGGAGTGACTTGGGCTTTAATATGGGCTTCTGAAGCTCGGAATTGAGCTCCCTGCGGTCTAAAATTTCACACCCCCGGTGGATGACGTTTTGGCCGCGGGTGAGCTTCTGACTGTGATGATTCGCCTTCAGTGTATCGACCATATCTGGAGATCTAACCGTTAAATTTCTTCGATTACACTTGTATTGGAAAGCTGGTTGTCTCCTATATCTTGTGTCAAAATTTGGGGATGATCAGACAGTAGGAAGGCCTCCGTTTGCTACCAAATTTCCGACGGTCTGAATTTATCCAAAGTTATGCTTTTTCTCCCAAGTGCATTCCTTTTGTCAAAATATCCTGAAAACTCTTTTGAGATTCTAAAACATAGAAATCACTTTAAAAACTTTCAAACTGAGTGAAAACACCTGCATAAGATATTAAAAATGATCCATAAAAGTGGTCAAAATCAGGTGTTATCACAAATCCCAAAGGCTTTGCATCTAAAGTAGAGAGTAAGGCATACCACGAGACAATGCATCAGCAACAACATTGTCTTTACCTTGTTTATACCTGATGACATAAGGAAAAGTCTCGATGAACTCAACCCACCTGGCATGTCTCTTGTTGAGCTTTTGCTGTCCTTTGAGATGTTTAAGCGACTCATGGCCTGTGTGAATGACGAATTCCTTAGGCCATAGATAATATTGCCACGTTTTAAGTGCCAGCACCAACGCCTAGAGTTATTTATCGTAGATGGGATAGGTTAATGTAGCTCCTCCGAGTTTTCGCCGAAGAAAGCTATAGGCTTCTTGTCTGAATTAAAACAGCACCGATTCCTACACTAGAAGCATCACACTCAATTTCTAATGTTTTAAGAAAATCAGATAAGACTAATAGAGGTGTGAGGGTAAGTTTATCCTTTAGAGCTTGGAACGCCTCCTCTTTCTCCTGTTCCTATTTGAATCCTACATCTTTCTTGATGGTTTTGGTAAGGGGAGCAACTATAGTGCTAAAGTCTTTGACAAATCTTCTGTAAAAACCAGCAAGACCGTGGAAACTCCTCACTCACCAGCGGTTTTAGGCGTTGGCAAGTCTTTGATGGCTTTGATTTTCTCTTCATCGAATTTAATACCATCCACACTCACAAAAAAACCTAGAAACACAAGATTATCTTTGAAAAATGTGCATTTCTTGAAGTTAGGAAACAATCTCTCCTTTCTAAGCACATCTAGAACAGATCTTATATGCACAATATGTTCGTTTAGACTCTTACTATAAACTAGAATGTCATCAAAGTATATGACCAGAAATACTCCTATGAAAGCTCTAAGAACATGGTTCATCAATCTCATGAATGTAGTACGGGCATTTGTTAACCCAAAAGGCATAACTAACTACTCATATAGGCTATGCTTAGTCTTAAAGGCAGTTTTCCATTCATCCCCTTCTTTCATTCTAATCTGATGATAGCCACTTTTCAAACATATTTTAGAAAAGATACTAGAACCGTGCAATTCATCAAGTATATCATCTAATCTGGGAATGGGGTGTTGATACTTAACCGTTACATTGTTGATTGCTCTACAATCAACACACATGCGCCAGATTCCATCTTTCTTGGGCGCCAGATTCCATCTTTCTTGGGCACAAGTAGCACATGAACAACACATGGGCTCATGCTCTCTCGGATATGGCCCTTCTCCATGAGTTCATTTACTTGTCTTTGAAGCTCTTTGGTTTCCACCGGGTTGGTTCTGTACGCAGGTCGATTAGGTATTGTTGGTCCTGGCACAAAATTTATTTGATGCTCTATGCCTCGAATTGGTGGCAACTCCTTTGGATTGCCTTGAGGAAAAACATCCTCATAAGCCTGCAATAATTCCTTCATTTCACTCGATAGAACCGGTACAAAGTTAGCCATACTAGCTAGAGATCCTTGAAAGACAAATAAGAGAATTGATTGCTTAGCCGTTAAAGCCTTCTTAACATCTCCAGCCCTCAAGAAAAAAGTTTGACGGTTTGCTTGGGGGTTTCTCCTTCTGTTTCATCTGGATTTGATCCTGGTATACTTCTTGTGGCGTCAGAGGACTAAAGTTGTTTTCCTGCCATTAAAAACAAAAGAGTACTTATTAGTAAAGCCATCATGCAATACCCTCCTATCCGATTGCCAGGGTCGTCCAAGAAGTATATGTCCAGCCTCCATTGGTAACACATCTCATAAGATCTCCTCTTCAGATTTGCCAATTGAGATAGGGACCATCACTTGGCTGCTGACTTTAATTTCCCCTGAGTCATTAAGCCACTGAATCTTGTAAGGTCTCGGATGCTTAATTGTTTTCAGACCAAGTTTCTTCACCATCGTTTCACTAGCTACATTGGTGCAGCTTCCTCCATCAATAATGGCTACATACTTTGCCTTGGACAACACAGTGAGTGTGAAACAAGTTTTTTCTTTGCTCTTGCTCATCAGTCGTTGTCTGAACACTTAGGAATCTCCGTGCCACCAGAAGTTCTCCTTGAACTAGTAAAGCTACATATACACCGTGGGCTTCTCGTCCTCTCCATGTTCTAATAGTACCATGACTCTCTTGTTTTAGCACTCATTGGCATAATGTCCTCGGCTGTGACACTTGAAGCACTTAACATCTCGTAATCTCGTCATAGTTGATTCTGCTTTGCCCTTGCTTTCTTGTACTGAAGTAAACGGCTTAGTTTCCACTTTAGCAGGTATGTCTGGTTTGACTTCCTTTTAATTTCCCCTGAGCTCAAAATCACATCGACTTCTCAATCAGCTAGGTTTGATGACGTTTTCTCTTCGATCTCGTCACCTACGAAGCACAGGAAACAGAACAGTTCTCCTTTTGATGATTTGATTGGGAATCTGGGGAAAAGAGAAACGGAACCAAAGGAGACAGAGAGTGAGCGAGAAGAGAAAGATAGCTCCGTTTTTGATGACTTGATTCCTGGGTTTAGTCGCAGCAGCTCGCCTCCAAATAAAAGGTAATATTTTTTAGCCTATTTGTTGAACTGACTCAAGGGTATAGAGCTTAGAGCTATTGAAATGTAGCATTGACTTTATAATGCTTATGGAGAGCCGTTTGCTGGTTTTTATTATGTTTACTTTCTGGAACTTAGAAAGTCTCGAAAAGCTTGAACTTTTTGCTTGTCATTCATATGCAAAATTTCATTTTGATTTAGGTATAGGTGATGTGGTGTTGAGTGTGGGTGTCAAGTTTTACCCTAATTTAAATCAATAGCCGCAAGTGCACAGCTGATCAATTGTAGTACTTAGGGATCGAATCCACAGGGAAGGAGGATCTTTTCCTGCAAAAAGCCTTTGAAATAAGTTAAAGTAAGGAAGTCTAGAACAAAAACGGTTTTGTGGGGGTTTGGTAGTGTGTTTAAAATGTAAAACCGAAATATTAAAAGAAAATACGGGAATTAAATGACGTAACAACTAAACTTAATGAAAATGACTAAAAATGATAAAAACGGATATTCTAATGCTTAAATGAAAATGAACTAAAAAGGAAAGACAATATTGAACTAAAGCTTTAAAGAAAAATAGGTGTAAATCGATAAGGAAGAAAGCGTTGGGGTTCAGGGAAGTTTTCTCAGGGGTACGAACGATTCAAAACATTGCTAGAGAGGAAATTTTGTAAGATCTTAGCTTAAACTTTTCGAACTGGAGTCACGGACGTATGAATACGCCACTGTCGTGATCATAGACAACTATTTCTCTCAATCCTGACCAATAGGTTTCCACTCTGGCCCTGGAAGAGAAGAGATGCATTATGTTTAAGACTCGTCCTAATTCACAAATCGCCCATAGGTAGGTTTCCACTCCTATGTTTGTTTTGCTCTCCCAAACTAGATCTGATACCTGATGAACACTTTCGTGTCACCAAGCATCTGGATCAGATTGTAGTTCATGACGCTACTCTCATGCAGTAAAAACGAATTCAGAAGAAAAAGTTCTAAGATTCGGCTCAAAAGCTCATGGAATCCTCATCGAACATATAAATCCCCATCGAAAATCCCTTAATCCCAACAATAAAACTACTCAGACATGATGAACAAAATCAAAAGCATAGTATTAATAAATAGAATAGAAACCGAAATTGAAAAAGAAAGAACAAGGGTTCAAGAGAACAAATCTCTCTCTCCCTAAAACCTAAAGCTTAAAAGTATTCTAAAACAATAAGAAAGATAGCATGTGATATCGATTAAGGTTCCTAAGACATGTATTTATAGTGCTCAAGACCTCTCTGGACGTTATTTAGGGTTTCTCCAAATGTGGGCTTCAGAAATGGGCTTTTTGGGCTCGGAGGTTGATGGCCGCGGTCGGGAGTGCTCTGACCGCGGGGAATGGGTGGTTTGCCGCGGTCGGGATGCTCCTGACCGCGGGAAAATGCTTGTTGGCCGCGGGTGGAAGTGCTTGCCGGCTGGTTTACGGGACATCTTGCTCTTAGCGTATCTTTTGATTAAACCGTTGGATTGCCAATCTGTAAAGTTCACTAGAAAGCTGATACTTCCATCTTTAAGGTCTCCAAATTTGAGCTGGATCAGACGGTGAGAAGGCCTTCAATCAGGGGTGAACTTCTGACGGTTTGCCTCTGAGCTGAAATCTGGTTTTCTATCCATTTTGTTAAGCTTTTCCCTAAGTTACCTGAAAAGAGTCTTGGAACTACAAATACTAGAAAAACATGATAAAAGTACTTAAAAGCAATTAAAAACATAGAAAAAGTATTTCAAAACGATCATAAAAGTGGTCAAAATACGGTGTTATCAATAGGCATACCTTGTTTATCGACTGAGAGATGCTGTACTCTTTTTGCATAGGCCAACTTCAGAGACGAGTCAATCTCAGAAACCTTCTTATCGGACAACCAAGACATCTTCCAATCTTGTAGACGATCCATTTGTAGTCTTGGAGGAGTCTGCATCAACCCTTAGAGAACCTTCCAAAGGAGAGTTCACAGATCCATTGGAGGAAATTGGTAAATTCAACAGCAGAAAAACTGATCATTCATCTGTCCGAGGAGGAGAATTGGTTGATGTAGATTCTCTCGATGGTCTTAGAAAATCAGGGCCAGATATGAATAGTAGAGGCAAGAGTCACTTGAGACCAGAAAGCATCAGTGGCTCTCAGTCACCAGTAGAAAGTTCTGGGAATTACCATGCGAAGAAAGTTTCATCTGATGAAGTTTTGGAACCGCAGAATACTTCATCCAGAAGTGTTCCTCAGACTTCTTCTCCAGTGTATGAAAACAAATCAGTCAATTCAGATGGATGTTTTGAATCATCTGATGATGTGTGGCTTACTGTTTCTGAGATCCTATTTACACAACCTACGAGTGCTCCGCCACCTTCGAGACCTCCACCACCAAGACCTACACGTCCTATAAAAAAGAAGGTTAATGAGCCTTCTTTATCGAGTTCTACTAACCACTCACACCTTCCTAACTCAGCTAGAGCTTCTGCATATAGCCCAACAGTATCTCCAATGGATGAACTCGACGCTTTTTCTATGGGCAGAAATCAGACTGCTGCTAACGGACATCCCGAGTCTTCCTCTGGTGAAGATCCTGATGTTTTAACTGCTGCTGTTGCATCAGCTGCTGCCATGAAGGATGCCATGGATAAAGCAGAAGCGAAGTTTAGGCATGCTAAGGAAAGGAGAGAGAAAGAAAATCTGAAGGCACGTAGAAGTTGAGAAGGCGATCAAATGGATAATTATGATTCTCGGGAAAGGGAACTAAGAGAAAAGCAAGAGATACGCGTGCCAGGCTGGAACGCCACCAGAGGACACAAGAGCGGGCTGTATGTATCAATAGAGTTGTTAAATCTTTTTCTTTAATGAGTTTTATATCTGAAAAAGACACAAAATCCACCATTACGTTTAGTAATATAAATACTTTTCTCAATCAGGCGAAAGCACTTGCTGAGAAACATGAGCGTGATCTTCAAGTAAAAAGAGATCAAGCTGAGCGAAATGTAAGTTTCACTTTACATGTGGTTTCTTCCCTTTCCCTCCTCTGTTGTGCCCAATCTCAAATCAAGTTGTTTTGTCGAGACACTTAATAAGAATGGGGTGTCTTGTATTCATTAGCATTAAAATTTTGTGCCACCTTAGGGAACTGTCTAAACTATTACTATCCATCTTGTTTTTTCTTTCTCTCAAGTTTGAGCCACTTAATCCTAAATGGCAAAGGATCTGTCTGGTTTTTCAGAGGATCGGTGAGACCCTAGATGTTGAGATAAAACGTTGGGGTGCAGGGAAGGAGGAAAACTTGCGCGCTCTGCTTTTAACGTTACAATATGTATGTTGTATTGTCTATTTTTCTTTATTCTGATGTTCATATGTACCTTTGATTTTATCAATCTTACAATTTCTTCTAATGTTTCAATGCGAACGAACATGTTCTTTGGCCAGAATGCGGTTGGCAGCCTGTTTCATTGACTGATCTAATTACCGCTGCATCTGTCAAGAAATTTTATAGAAAGGCCACTCTCTGTATACATCCTGACAAAGTTCAGCAAAAAGGCGCCAATCTCCAGCAGAAATACATTGCCGAGAAAGTGTTCGACTTGCTCAAGGTAAGCGATTCACCAATTTTGAACAAAAACACCTTTTAAGTTAAGGTATTGTTCAATTAGATTGCATCTCTCATTCATTGTACAATTCCACAATTGCTGACTTCATCTCTTTTTTTTTTCTCATAACATTAAACAGGAAGCATGGAACAAGTTCAATTCAGAAGAACTATTTTGAAAAAAACCTGGGATTTTGTTTTGAGATAGTTTTGTTTTGTGTATTACCAGAAAAAGATGAAGCATGGTGCGTTCATTAAAATGCAAAAAATGGAGCCATATAGTTGTCCATAGAGTATGTATTCCCTCGGTATTACCCAAGGCTGCACCATTATAGACATCGCAGCAATTGGGTATTCTTATTTTTTTTTTTGTTAATCTTTTTCCTTTCTCATTACTATTCTTGATTTTAAGGGCACGATGTCAAATGTGTTGATGTTGATTTCTTGTATCAAAACACATACTTGAAGAACTGTATATTGTTGTTTCCTAACTATATATACGAAATGTTCTAACCTTAACCCCGAAAATGTGCAGATGTTTACGAATTGGGTCATAGAAAACCTTTACGTCACCTAGGCTTTGTGCAATGGCTTGAGGTCCCTCCAATAAAGATTTCATCGATCTCCAGAACGGAGAAGCCATAAAAAAAGATTTTGTCTTCAAACCACATAACAAGCTCAAGGGTGTTTCTGGCATAACAGGTTTTGGAACAATTGGCAAACACCTAGAGCACAGAATCGTTTATCATGTAACTAAAACTTAAAAAGTGGGTCAAAATGTAATAAACTCTAAAGAAATTGAGTTTAAGGCATAGCTCATCTATATCTTTCTGACATATTAGTAGGTCATATTGTCTTCGTTGTATCGCCACAGCGATGTTTTTGTTAACAAGTTTATGTTAAAACTATTTTTTATAAAGCTTGCGGGCTTATAAAATTGTTTATGTGTGAATTGAAATGAGGTCTTATGCCCCAGTAGAAAAGCTTTGTAATAAAGAAAATAATATTTTATAAAAAGAAAAACATTGTAAAAAGGAAAACCTTGTAAAAAGAAAAACCTTTATAAAAAAGGAAAACTTTTGTAAAAAAGAAAACTTTTGTAAAAATAAAAATCCTTGTGAATGAAAAGAAAAAAAAGGGACATGTAAAAAAATCTCACATTGGTAGTTGGAAAAGTTTTCCACTATGATATTCTACTATAAATACATAGCCTCTCTTGAGAGAAAGGCATCCCAGTAAAATCCAGTCTGATCCAGACAGAAAAGAAAACAACACAGAAAAACAATAGCTTCGAGCAAATCTCTCTTGTCTTAATATAGTAAGTGTCTCGAGAGTTATGGCGTAGTTATTTCAGTTCGCAGATTCTATTATGGGTCTTGCATAATAGTGTTATCACGGTTTTATCCTGGGATTCAAAAATCGCAACAAACCGTCACACATTATGGGCGATTTATTGAGTTAAGGAAAGAGATCAAATCTCGACTCCGTGTTAGTCAGTGTTTTCAAATCGGTTTTCAAAGTCTCGTTTTCATACTCTTTCCTTAAGATATTGTTTATAATTTCATTGATTTACTTCGTGATTTCAATTCAGATTTTTGCGGTCTTACAGTTTCATGTGTCAACACGCCAATGTCCATGTCACTCAAGTTCCTATCTCACTACCGATATGGATATTTTTCACATTGTTCCATCACCAAATAAAGACTCTTTCGAAAAATAAAAAAATAATACTTAAACGATATTTGTGTAATTACGACTGTATAATTAAATTTTAGATTAATAATATCTGGTCCATATCGCTCCAGGGCTCGGCCCATCCTATTTTATAGACGGGCTCGGCTTGCCTCTTCACAGGGCTCGTGTTTGTCAATGTCTTATGACACTTAGTCATTTTAAAATAGTTAATTCAGCTGGTGTGGAAACCGACCCCAACATTTAGCCCCCCAGCTCGTCGGTCTCGGAGACGAGAGCGATGAGGTACAAAACTCTGAAGGCTGGATTTAGCCGAGCCTCTCCACCGAGCCATCATGAAGAGGTTTTGCCGAGCCTCTCCAAGATGGAATGATATCGAACCGTTGGGATTCTAGTGAAATGCCGAGCCGTTTACTCGGCGAGGCAATTGAGGAACCGAGCTGTTACAGAGTAACAACGACGAGGCACTTTAGAACGATACCGAGCCGCGTTAATGATAATGACGAGGAGTTTTGTGAGGTGACGCCGAGCCGTGTTCATGATAACGACAAGGCGATGACGCGGGGTGCAGCCTGTGCTGTCTGTCGAGATATTCTAAGATAGGTGATCGTACAGAGCCATTTTGTTGAAGGCGAGGCGATTTTGACAAAGGACACAAACGAACCGGTTTTCCTAGTATATTTCAAGATGTCGAGGCGTTTTTGCGAAACTGTGTCGAGCCGAATAAACGACGAGGCGTTTTGTGAAAGTTAGGCCGAGCCGAATAATCGACGAGGCGTTTGTGACAGCCATGCCGAGCCGAATAAATGACGAGGTATTTTGTGACAGCCATGCCGAGCCGAATAAACGACGAGGCATTTTGTGACAGCCATGCCGAGCCGAATAAACGACGAGGTGTTTTGTGACAGGCATGCCGAGCCGAATAAACGACGAGGCGTTTTGTGACAGCCATGCTGAGCCGAATAAACGACGAGGCTTTTTACAAGTGAATCACCGAGACATTTTTAGTGAAGGACACAGATTTACAATTCGTTGGTTCTCCGAAAGAAAATCTTGGATACTGGCGCGTGCAACAGACGCACCTAGAATTTGTTCATACGCCGAGGATTTCACGCGCCGTTATTTATTAACCTTTGCGGCTTCCCAAGGTTCACACGGACCCCACGCGTCTCGGCTTGTTCTATAAGAGGATGAGCGCCCTTCCCTTCTCCTCATAACTTCAGATCTTCGTTTTTTACTAAAGGTAGCTCTCCCTTCTCTCTTCATTCTCTCTCTAGTTTATTTATTTTCCGACTAGAGTTTCCAGGCCTCCGCCGTTTCAGATCTTTTTCCGACGAAAACTCGCCGTGTAGTATTTGTAATTTTGTGCACGAGCTGTAAATCATGTCGAACCGTTCCGATGATTCTCTAGACCCCCTTTTCTACTACGAGCCGAGCCGTGTAGATGCCGAGGTGAGAGGTATGACGGGGTCTTCTGAGGCGCCTGTCTTGCCGAACCCTTCCAATCACTCCTATGAAGGCAACGAGGTGTCGAATCACTCGAATCCCTCGGGTTCTTGTTCTTCAAATAATGAGTCGTCAGTTTCGACGAGCTGCTCCCGGGGTCCCGTCTGTACTGATGATGTTGATTACGCCGCAGTGAAAGCCAAGGAAGAAGCGTTTCTTTTTGATCCGGTGGAGGCGAGACTTGTGTTAGAACGTCTTATGGCATTCCGAGGTGCTTCTTCTTCTGGGAAGAGGTGATATAAGCGAGGGAAAAGGCAAAGACCCGACCCTCCTGGTTCCACACTCTCCTCCCCTAAATCACTCGAGGCGGTAGAATTCGTCCTTCCGGGGAAGAGTGACCGAGCCGACAAGCCTCCTCAAAATTACTTTACCCTATACGAGGCGTTTTTTGAACTCTGTTTCCTTTGGATCCCGATCCCTGGAGTAATCCTCGAGTACTTGTGGAAGTACGAGATCTCGATTGGACAGATCATGCCGAGGGGCTTGCGGCATATGATTGGCATCCTGGTTCGGGGCTTTGAATGCGGACTCGACATCGAACTGGGTCATCTGAGTAAGATCAGAAGAGCTCCAGGAGGAGGTTGATTTTAAATCTCCAATAAGTCCAACCGCCAGATTATAGACGGTTTTCCAAGCAGAGATCAGTTTTGGACCGAGCGCTTCTTCTACGTTTTGGTGAACGAGGTGTCGATGGGCGAGGACTTCGTCCAAAAAACCAAGACCACCTGGGGACCACTTGGTAGCCGATCCGAAGCCTTGCCTCGGCTCGGAGCTGTTATGGTGCGATTTTCTCCTACTAACCTGGTCATTTTTGTGTTGTTTTTGCAGTTCGTAGCATCCTTCCTTCTATTCCTGACGACCTCTTCGCTGTTCGAGATGCTCTCGCGGCTCGAAGAGTCAATTGGAGGAAGCACTTCACGTTTGAGAGAGTGGAGAGAGCTCGAGCCATTTTTGCCGCGGTGTCTATTAGCTCTTCGTCGTCGAATTCTTCAGGGGATACAAGAGAAAAGATGGTGATCATTACTATTAGGGACATGAACAGGCGCGAAGCCGAAGAGGATGCCAAACAAGCCACCCAAACGACTCAAGCAGAGACCAAGGCTAATACTCAGGAAGATCCGCCGAGCCGTGAAGGGGAAGACGCGACCCGAGCCGTGGAAGCAAATGTCATCGAGGTGATTGCGAAAGAGACAGCGCCCGAGGTGGAACCGGGTGAGATCATCCCCGAGCCGGCTAAAGAGGATTCCGCGGTTCGGAGCAAGATGTCGTCCAACTCTGCTATTTTGGCCCTCCCAAAATTGTCAAAGCCCCGGCTTCGAATCTGCTGAAGCATTACGCTGGTCAAAAACGATCAGCTACTGAGAAGGGGAAAGGGGTGGCCATTCAGAAAGGCGAGCCGCCCAAGAAGAAACGCAAGCCAGCGTCCGGCGAGCCTACGTCGCGCAAGCTGGTCGTTGACAACCCGGATGCTTCCGCAGTGTTGTTTTCGCGTGTTAACAATGC